GCATCCAACTCTTGATTTTGACTCTGGTCATGATCTCAGGGTCATGAGATCAGGCCCTGCATTGGGTTCATGCTAAGGTGGAGCCTGCTTAAGATTCTCTCTCTCTAAAAAAATAAAAACAAAAACAAAAAATCCCCACAGTAACTTGGAGCCAACTATAATAATCATGCATGGGTTTTTGGGTTTCTGGGTACAAGCCTGATTCATAGTGTGTTCAGCAGGTTGTGGGAAAGCCCTAGGAATTGTCTGGTAAAGTCATTTAGTGCCTGCAGGAGCTTGATCATGTAGCAAGATGGGATAGTACCCCATCTGTGGTTCTAGAGATCCCTCCATGTAGCCGGCGCACGAGGGTGCGCAAGCACCTGGTTCCGGGCTCCCAAACACACCGGGCTTGGTCACTCGTCACAGAGAAAATCCACAGGCAGAGAGGTGGGTGGTGGGGACACAAGAAAGGAGTTTATTTCAGCGAGGCCGACACCGGGAGGACCACGGACTAGCGTCTCAAAGACCGTCTCCCAAGTGCTGAAGATCCTTGCAGGTTTACGTAAGGAGAACGTAGGGTGAAGGTGGGTGGGTACGTGCAGGGGCAGCGAAGGTCCAGTCTCATTGTTCTGGGCTCAGTCCTGAGGGGTCTTGCTGGCTCGGGGCAGTCCTTGTTGCTTGGGGGCCCGGGGTGGTTTCGATTCCCCTCACGGGAGGCTCTGCCAGTTGGCTCTTTCTTGTGTTAAGAGATAAGCTGAAAAGAAGAACTTAGTCATGTAGGAAGTACTGACTGAGGTCAGAATGGAGGCCCTTGACGTCCTCTCTCACCAGGATTATCCGAGCGGCAGAGTTCATCCAGTGCTCGGACTGGCCCTGGACAGCAAGCATATGTAATAGCGGATGTGAATCTGAGAAACCCAGTTGATAAGTTTGAATCACCATCTTAAATTACTCAGCAAATCTATGAGGATCTAAGGATCCTTAGCAAATCTGAGAGTCCCAAATCTCACTTTGGGAGAGTCTTTGACTATAGGTCCTAATTCACCCTTAGTCCAGGGCACATGACAAAATAGGGGTTTGGCATTTGGATCCTCGGAGGGTCTGACTTTAATGGGGCAGGTTTTAATGGGTTTGGGAGAAGAAGGGAAGGACGGCCAGAGAGGATTGAATGAGGAAGTTCAGGGTATAAAGTAGGTGGGGGTCGTGCGGGAGGGCAAGGGGATGGTGGCTGTGTGCTTTGCGTAAGATGGCTGTTGAGCACCCTTTGCGTAAGAGACCAAGAGGACAGGAGGGGAGCAAGAGGCCTCAGAAGATTTGTGTCTTCCTTTGTTTGCTGCTCTGTTAATTTGAAATCAGTGTTTTATAAAGAGGCTACTTGAGAGTCCTGAATCTGTTTAGAAGCCTCCAGGTACCCATTAAATTGGGTATTCCATGGAGTCTGTTTAATATTAGAGTCAGAGCTTTCTAATTAGGTTTTTTTTTATTATTTTTTTTTTAAAGATTTTATTTATTAATTCACGAGAGACAGAGAGAGAGAGAGAGAGAGGCAGAGGGAGAAGCAGGCTCCCAAGGAGCAGAGAGCCCGATGCGGGACTCGATCCCAGGACCCTGGGATCATGACCTGAGCTGAAGGCAGACGCTTAACCATCTGAGCCACCCAGGCGCCCTCTAATTAGGTTTTGAGAAAAGTTTTTTTTGGGGGGGGGGTTAAGAGTTCCCCATAATGGGCATTGGAATTTTAACTCATCTTTGGTTAAGTTGGTCCATTTAGTCAAAATGCATTCCCACCAACAGTTCACGAGGGTTCGTTTTCTCCACATCCTTGTCAACACCTGTTATTTCTTTTCTCTTTTTTTAATTTTTATTTGTTTATTTGAGAGAGAGAAAGAGAGCAAGCACAAGCAGGGGGAGGGGCAGAGGGAGAGGGAGAAGCAGGCTCCCCGCTGAGCAGGGAGCCCGATGCCAATCCCAGGACCCCAGGATCATGACCTGAGCCAAAGGCAGACGCTTACCTGACTGAGCCCCTCTTGTATTTTCCATACTAGCCATTCTGATAGATGTGAGGTGATATCTCATTGTGGCTTTTGACGTAGGAAAGTCATTACGGTTCGAAGCCAATGGCCAAGAAAGAATTCTTGAGACATCTTTGGTGCAAAAAGGTGGTTTTATTAAAGCCTGGGGACAGGACCCGTGGGCAGAAAGGGAGGCACTGGGGTCATGAGGAGTGGCCCGTTATATACTTTCAAGTTGGGAGGGGGTAAAAAAAAAAAAAAAAGAAGGGGGGCGCCTGGGTGGCTCAGTCGTTAAGCGTCTGCCTTCGGCTCAGGTCATGATCCCAGGGTCCTGGGATCGAGCCCCACATCGGGCTCCCTGCTCAGCGGGAAGCCTGCTTCTCTCTCTCCCACTCCCCCTGCTTGTGTTCTCTCTCTCGCTGTGTCTCTCTCTGTCAAATAAATAAATAAAATCTTAAAAAAAACACAAAAAACAAAACCTTAGTCATGAGACCCTTCAGATGTATAACCATGGGCCATATGCTTGGGGGGGTGATTGCCAACGTGTATCTTGGGTTTAGAGATAAAGAAAATTTCTACAGGAATTTTTATTTAAAGTAGACTTACAGGATCCTGGGGGGAGGGAGGGGTCAGGCTAAGGTTGCCTTTTGCCCTTTGCGAGGTATTAGCATTGAGGCGGCTGAGTTCCTGGAGGAAGGTCTCTCTGCCTGTTTTAAGGACTTGTCAGTGGGCTATAAGTAGTAAGGAAATTTAATAATTTTTCTTTTGCCTTTGTTTCCCACATCAGTTTTGATTTGCATTTCCCTGATGATCAGTTATGTTGAGCATCTCTTCATGTGTCTATTGGCCATCTGTATGTCTTCTTTGGAAAAATGTCTATTCAGGTCCTCTGTCCATTCTTAATTGGATTATTGTTTTTTTGGTGTTGGGTTGTATAAGTTCTTCATAAGTCAGTCAGAGAAAAATAAATACCATATGATTTCATGCATATGTGGAATTTAAGAAACAAAACAAACAAAGAAAAAAGGAACAAAAAAACTCTTAACTACAGAGAACACGTTGATGGTTACAGGGGGGACGTGGTGGGGAGATGGAACAGGTGATGGGGATTAAGGAGCGCACTTGTGATGAGCACTGGGTCATGTATGGAAGTGTTGAATCACTATATTGTACACCTGAAACTAATATAACACAGTATGTTAATATACTTGAATACAAATAAGTAAGTAAATAATGCACGTGAGAGGGACCATAGCTTTTTAAAAATATCTTTTATTTCTTTTAAAGATTTTATCTATTTATATGAGAGAGGAAGAGAGAGGGAGAGCACGAGAAGGGGGAGGGGCAGAGGGAGAAGCAGAGAGCAGGGAGCCCTATGCGAGACTTGATCCCAAGACCCTGGGATCATGACCTGAGCCAAAGGCAGACACTTAACCGACTGAGCCACCCAGGTGCCCTAGGACCATAGCTTTTAAACATAAAACCAGATGGGGTACCAGAAGGAGGACCCTCCTGAGAGAGTGTAGAGAGTCAAAATCCCATTACTCAAAATCTGAGGTTCAGAAAAGAAGCGAGTACTTTATACAGATCCTGAATAAAGTCGGGTGCTCCACCAAAGGGAGGGCTCGAAATCTGAGAGACCCTCCAAAGGGGTGAGCACGAAGGCTCCACACAGACGCCTTGCTCAGGCCTGAGGGTCTTCATCCCCTGGGGTCCTCTCCTTTGGATCCCACTCTGACCTCCAAGTAATGTAAACTTTAAACAGAGCAAAGAGGGGCACCCAGGTGGCTCAGTCGGTTAAGCGTCTGCCTTCGGCTCAGGTCATGATCCCAGAGTCCTGGGATCGAGTCTCGCATCGGGCTCCTTACTCAGCAGGGAGCCTGCTCCTCCCTCTGCCTGTGCTGCTCCCCCTGCTTGTGCTCTCTCTCTCTCTGTCAAATAAATAAATAAAACCTTTAAAAAAAAAAAAAGGAAAGAAAGAAACAGATGGCCTTGAACAATACTATGGATTAATTGGACCTAACAGACATACAGAAAACTCCATCCAGAAACAGCAGTTACACCTTCTTTTCAAGGACATATGAAACATATTCCATGATAGATCACAAAACAAGGCCACAAAACAAGTCTTAAGAAACTTAAGGGGACATCTGGGTGGCTCAGTTGGTTAAACATCTGCCTTTGGCTCAGGTCATGATTTCAGGGTCCTGGGATTGAGCCCTGGATCAGGCTCCTTGCTTGGCAGGAAGCCTGCTTCTTCCTCTCCCTCTGCCACTCCCCCTACTTGTGCTCTCTTGCTTGCTCGCTCTCAAATAAATAAGCAAAATCTTAAAAAAAAATAAAATAAACAGAGCAAAGAACATCTCTAAGTAAAAAATGAGTTTAGGGGCGCCTGGGTGGCTCAGTTGGTTAAGCGACTGCCTTCGGCTCAGGTCATGATCCTGGAGTCCCTGGATCGAGTCCCGCATCGGGCTCCCTGCTCGGCAGGGAGCCTGCTTCTGCCTCTGACCCTCCCCCCTCTCATGTGCTCTCTCTCTCTCATTCTCTTTGTCTCAAATAAATAAAAATTAAAAAAAAAAAATCTTTAAAAAAAAATGAGTTTATTCAGGAATCGCAAAGGAATTGCAATTCCGGACAATTCGCTATGACGAATCATAGGCAAGTCGGAAGAGACAAAGGGAAGGTCAGCTTTAATTAGGTTTTAGGGGGAAGTGGGGAGGTGTTGAACACATGTTCTGTGGAGAAGAACAAGAGTTTGAGGTTAGTGATTTCTCATCGGCTGTAAGTGGTGGTTGATGCATTATTGCTGGAACAGGGAGGGATCTTCTTTTTCTTAAAAGCAGTAAATGAAATTCCTATGTGAAAAATGTCCTCCCTTGTAATAATGCTTATCTTCCTCCTTCCTGCTGGTTGTGCAGGCCACAGCAAGTCATGTGTGTGTGTGTGTGTGTGTGTGTGAGAGCTGCCCTTTCACGGCTTCCCAACTCCATTTTAAATGAGGTTCCTTTTATTTATTTTCACAAATTTGTGATCCATTGTGTTTCTTTTACTCCCTGTCAGCAAACCCTCTTGGAAGCACAACGCCCAGAAAACCTGTCTTATCTGTCAGTGCAAGAAAAATTAAGGACAATGCAGCTGATTGGCATAATTTAATATTGAAATGGGAAGCCCTCAACGACACAGGTTTTGCTACTGCAAATAATATTGCCAACCTGAAAACCAGGTTATGGTAAGTATGTGTATAGAGCTCCTCAAGCTCTGAGCCCGCACCCTTAGTGATTGGGCACGAGTCTCCTGGGAGTCGTTTAGGGTGGGAATGGTAGTCTTTATCAACATGCGTGAATTACGTTATATTAAGAAGAGCAAGTGGTAAAATGATGTATGCAAGTAGAAACTGTATATGTATGTCCATTTTAAATACAAAATTATGCTACCTGTCATTCATTGTTATGTCTGTATATGAAATTATGAAAATGGATTGGAAGGACACGGGCCCAGCTGTGAAGCTCGCACCTTTAGGATGGATGCGTGTTGGGTGGGAGATCAGCAGGCCTCTGATTTCACAACATTGTGCTTTGTTTCTGTGATGTTGTGATTGATAGTAAGAACTATCTCTTTGGTCTCCCTCCCTGTTCCTGGCCTACAGCTCCTAAAACCCCTCCGACTTCCCAATGGATAAGAGCAATAGGAGCATCCTCTGTTCTAATATTTGGTCTTTTGTCCCCCAGAATGGTCCAGGTGAAAGGAGTGTCCTGTTATTCATAACATGTCCCTTCCAGCCACCCCTGAGTTCATGCTAAGGAGGTGACTTCTGGAAAGCCCCATGGGAACCAAGCAGGGCATTAGAGAGCGTGAACTTTCAGCTCTACCCCCTCACCCCACCTCAGGCAGGGGGAGAGGGGCTGGAGGTTGAATGATACACCAGTGGCCAATGATTTAATCAGTCGTGCCTACATAATGAAGCCTCCACAGAAACCCAAAAGGTTGGGGTTTAGGGAGATTCTGGTTTGGTGAACAGTAACACCTCTCCATGCTGGAAGGGTGGCCCCCAAACTCCACAGGGACCCAAGCCCCTGTGCTCAAGATCCTTCCGGACCTTGCTCTATGTACCTCTTCATTTGGCTGTTCTCTCATATCCTTTAATATCCTTTGTAATAAACCGACAAGCTAGTAAGTAAACCATTTTCCGGAGTTCTGTGAGCTGCTCCAGCAAATCCTTCAAGTCCAGGGGGGTGGCTCGTGGGAACGTCTTATGCACAGCCCATCGGTCAGCCACAGCTGACACCCTGGGCTTGCGGTTAGTGTCCGGAGTTGAGCGGGGCCAGTCTTGTGGGGCCGAGCGTTGACCTGTGGGATCGGTCTGTCTCCAGTAGGTAGTGTGCCTACCTCCGCCAGGTGGTCTCTCCAACAGGTAGAGTTAACTGTGGGAAGGGCCGCAGGCTGTGAGAATTGCCTGGTGTGCAGAAACCCCCTCCCCACCTGTGCTGACCAGGTGTTGGAAGTCCGGTGGAGGATGGGGAGTAGAAGAGACAGAGGAGGGTATTTTTCCTTAGCAATTTCTTTTTTTTAAGATGTTTTATTTATTTATTTATTTATTTAATTTATTTGAGAGGGAGAGAGAGAGCACAAGCTGGGGAGGGGGCAGAGGCAGAGGGAGAAGCAGACTCCCCACTGAGCAGGGAGCCTCACGTGGGACTCAATCCCAGGACCCCAGGATTATGACCTGAGCCGAAGGCAGACGCTCAACCAACTGAGCCACCCAGGCGCTCCCCCTTAGCAATTTCTTTTTTTTTAAGATGATTGCTTGATTGACATGAGAAAGAGAAAGCGCATGCGCGTGCGCGCACAGCTGGGAGAGGGGCAGAAGGGGAGAGAAAAGCAGACTCCCCGGTGAGCAGGGAGCCCGATGCGTGTTGGGTGGGAGTCCCAATGCGGGACTCGATCCCAGGATCCTGGGATCATGACCTGAGTGGAAGGCAGATGCTTATCGACTGAGCCACGCAGGTGCACCCCCACCCCCCTTAGCAATTTCTTTAAAAAAGACAAAGGAGTCCTCAGAAAACCTGTTAGCGGTTGCCAATTCTGATTGGAAGGTTTGCTTCATTATTCTTTGCACTTTCCTGCATGTATAGTTTCTTATTTCTCAAAGTCATAATTCTGTGTTCCTCTGTCATTGTCCGCAAGCCAGAGTCGAGCGTCTCCACTGCTGTCCCCTGGCTCAGGCCCTTTCCCGGCACACGTGTCCCGCTGCTGGCCCTCTGCTGCCTCTTCCTCCCAGGGCCTGCTCAGCAAGAGACAGTTCTTGGCCTGCCTGCAGAAGGAGCTCTCTGATACTGTCTCTTCTGTTTTTATGTTTAATTTTTCCCTGAAGTGTTGTGACCACGCTAGATTAATTTCATGCCCCACAGGCCACAGGCTTCGAACCATTCCCAGAGGGTGAACTCTGGGGAAATGGTCATGTCTCGTTCATCTTTGTGCGCCCAGCACAGAGCCCTAGGCTAAGGACGCTACGGGGCTGCCTTCAGCCGACTCCCCCCAGTACAGAGCTGGTGGACTGTTCATCGTGCTGGTGAATAATAAGTAAGCATACGTTACAGCCCCGTGAAATAACACCTGGGCCAAATGCCTGACACTGTTGCCTGGAGATGGCGCTTTCTAGGGTCTGCCCTCACGAGACGAGGTGCCTCTCGGGGTGTACGTGGTTCGCACTCTTCTCCATTTTGTCCAGGAGCGAAGATGCGGCCGAGTTACAGAGCAGCCCAGCTTCCGGGGAAGGTGCGGACAAGACGCTTCCGGAATACAGCAAGGAGCTAGAGACGCTGTGTGAGGAGCTGCAGACCACCTTTGATGCTTTGGTGAGATCCAGAGCCCCCGGCCACCTGTGCTCGCAGTCACCGAATCCTGGGGGTGTCCTTGGGACTTTCTCGGTGCCCGGCAGGTGTCCACGCTGTGGGAGACGCTCTCCCCCAGACACCTGCCTTTCCCTCCTCGGCCTCCTCCACTTGCCCCCTAAATCTCGATGCTCCCCAGGATGCTGTCCTAGACCTTTGTTCTTTCTGCCGCATGTGATGTCTGGGTCCATCTGACCCCCTTCGGAGGGCTCCACATGGTAAATATTGTGGGCTTTGTGGCCCTACCGTGTCTCGTCACCACTCGGCTCCACCACGTAGTGCATCACACGTGGTACAGAAGTGAATGGTGGTGTAGCCAGCACACAGGGGTGCACGAGCCCCTGGCTCCAGGGTCCCAAACACACCAGGCTCGGCCACTCACCGCTGAGAAAATCCACAGGCAGAGAGACGAGTGGGGGGGACACAAGAAAGGAGTTTATTTCAGCGAGGCCGACACCGGGAGGACCACGGACTAGCGTCTCAAAGACCGTCTCCCAAGGGCTGGAAAGACTTGCAGGTTTATGTAAGGAGAATGGGGGACAAAGGTCGGTGGGTACGTGCAGATGGGCGGTAAAAGGTCGATCGTGGTCGTCATGGGGGGGTCACACGGGGTCTTGCTGGCTCTGGGCGTGTGGGCTATGTGAGATCTGCTTTCTTCATTTGTTTCCACGTTCGCGGCCGTGTCCCTGGCAGGTGAGGGCTGCACACGGAGCTCCTGACCAGCAGGGACTGGGCACAGGCCAGATAAGCGATTGAAATTGGCAAAGTTCTCAGTTATGGAAGACTGCCCACTTGTTTTGTTTTCTTTTTCCCAAATTAACCCATTCTATTAGGGCAAATATTTTTGTTTGGGGAGCCTGGGTGGCTCAGTCGGTTTAGCGTCCAACTCTTGGTTTCGGCTCAGGTTGTGATCTCAGGGTCGTGGGATTGAGCCCCGTGTCCTCCTCCACACTCAGTACAGAGTCTGCTTGAGATTCTCTCTCCTTCTGCCTCTCCCCCTCGCCCCCCCTCTCTCCCCCTCTCTCTCTCAAATAAATAAATAAATCTTTTAAAAATATGTTTTTGTTTGAATAAAAAAGCAGGTGCATGTATTGTTCCTAAAAGAAAAGAAACGGGGTGGCTGAATTCCAGTATTACAATAATTTAAACAGCCAAAAAGCTACACGTGGTGCTCAGTCAGCTGCACTCCAGCCCTGACCGCCTCGCTGTGTGTCGTTTTGATGAGCCACCACCTCCCACCAGAGCCTCTTCATCTCTTGTTCCCTTCCAGGATAAAGCCTGTCACAGAATCTCAAAGCTGTGTTAGAACGAGAAACATTTTCAACACATACTAATGTGACTTTTATAAAATGTAAAAAAAACTCTGAAAGGATTTTGTTTTTAAATGTCACTTGGCTCTTGTTAGATCACACGTTCTCATTTGTAACTGTGGACATAGGCCCATCAGGAAAAAGTTTCAGAGGAGAGGCCGATGGGGAAGAGGGGGTGTGCCTTTCATTTCAGGCACGCCAGGAGTGATTGGCTTTGTTTGTCTGTCCTAGGTTCTCCCCATTCTTAAGTGGCAGGCTGGTACCCTGGACCCCTTCCTCAGCCCCACTGACCTGCACTGAGGAGGGGCAGCATGGGAAGATGTTAGCAGGGAGAGTCAAGATGCAGAAAACCCAGCCGGCAGGCTCGATGAACTGGGCAGCAGCAGAGGAAAGGTGGGGTGCCTGCCCTTGGTCCCTCTGACCCGCAGCACAGGCCCAAGGTGAGGCAGGCCAGGGGAAGGTAGCCGCTGGGTTGTAGGTGACCACCTGCTCGTGGTCAGCCGAGTTCCCAAGATCTTCAGATAAAGCCTGGGCTGTGTCCATGACAGCCAACAAAATGATGGGCCCACCCATCAACGCGGACAGAGCCAGCATGGATGCATGTTTGGACGGGGACGGGCCTTGTCAAAGAGAAGTAATTGGGGGAACTGGAGTTTTAGCCCAGGAAAGGGGGAACCAGCAGACAAAACAGCCACCATCACAGCCAAAAGGCTGTCCCGAGAACAGGAAATGGTCCACTGGTTTTTTGAGGCCTCTGAGGGGATAAGGGAGACCCCGGGACTGGCAGAAGCTTTGGCTCCCACCAGAGAACAATGTTGCAAGTCCCGTCCAGAGCTGGAAGGGGCTCCCACGGAGCTGGTGTGTCCCGTGGTGGGAAATGTACCCCCAAAGGGCTGGATGATTACTCGGTGGGTTCATCACAAAGATCATGGAGGAATTAACTCCTGGGTAGAACTACATCAGTGTACGTACATTTCACCCATTCTTAGGCCTACCTCACAATTTGTATTAATCCTATCCTGTTTATTTACTTAACGTTTTTCTGTAATACAATTAAAATCACATTATACACACGTTAGCTGAATATTGCTTCCCAGCCAAAGTCTTTGAGCCTGGGGCTGACTCCCTTTTTCCCAAGAAGGGAAGTTTTCTGTCTTTCAAAGGCACGTAGGGATGGGAGGGAGAGGCACACGGGCCCGAGGCGAGCGACCCGAGTTGGAAGACAGGCTGCACCGTGTGCCGCAGGGTTACCAATGCCGTGGCCTGGTGGCTTTGGGAAGAGGCAGGCGCCCTGGTCTCTATGGTCTCCCCAAGCCACAGTGTGCTGCTCCAGTGGATTAATTCTCTGTATTTTTTTGTGAACACTTGATTTTTTGGGACAGTCTCCGATTTACAGGATGGTTGAGCAGGTAGTATGGAGAGTTCGAGTAAACCATCCCCAGCCCGCACCCCATGTCAGACATTACTGTCCTACGTATCACAAACATGTACACAAACATGTATGCCACTTTGTCATAATTCATGAGCCAGCACTGATACGCTGTTACTGAATGAAGGCTGTGGTCTATTCACATTTTCTTACTTTTTCCCCACTGCCCTCTCTCCACGCCGGATGCCGCAGTGAATGTAGTCATCATGTCTCCTCGGGCCCCTCGTGGCCGCCAGTCTCACAGACTTCCCTTGGTTTTTATAACAGTGACAGTTTTGAGGAGGATGGGTCAGGCATTTTGCAGCTGTCCCTCACTTGGGGTCTGTCTGATGACTTTCTCATGATTTGGCCGGGGTTGTGGGTTCTTCGGGGGAGACCGCAGAGATGAGGTCTCATCACATCCCGGCAAGGGCGTGGACTGTGACCACGCCCTGTCGCTCTGGGTGTTGACCTTGACCGCCTGGCTGAGGTTTTGTCAGGTTTCTCTGTAAAAGGAGCTCCCTTCCCGCTGTCCACACAGCCCACGCTGAAGGAGTGGGAAGTTCTGTCCCACCTCCCTGAGGGTGTAGCATGTACATAAATTATGTCTGTCTTCCCCCACCTGTGAATTACTGGACCATGCATTTCTAGCAGTGTGGACTCATGGCTATTTGTTTTCCACTTTGGGTTGTAATACAGTTTTGTTTTGTTCAAATTGTTCCTGCTTCGGCCATTACGAGTTCCGTTGGCTCCTATGTCCCTTTGACAGGCTTCCATCATTGTGAATTTTTGGTTTGGGTTTTTTGGAACGCTTCCTTACTTTCTAGCATTACAAGATGTTCTAGGCCCATCTTGTGTATTTCCTGCCTCGGTTCTAGGATCAGCCATTTCTCCAAGGAGCCCTGGTTCCTCTTATTGGAGGATGGTTTCAGAAACCAAGATCTGGGTGCCAGCCATCAGGCACTGAAATCCTCTGCTCCAGGGAATTTATTCTATTTTGAAGTGGTTTGGAAACAAGTTCTCATTCTATGTTCAAAACCAAAAGTTGATGTGATAAGGCTTTTAGTATTATTTGGCCTGTTCCCCAGCTTTTGGAGAGAATGGTTTCCCAGACTTGGCTTTAAGTGTCTTTAATGAATTTGACCTTGGCAGGGGGCTTTGAGGCAGCCCTTTCCCTAACGTGGACGAACATTTTGCAGTTTGGTCTGTGGGAGGAGGTTGGGCTGGGAGTGTGCGCCTCCGTTCATGCCCTGCGGGCTTAGGGCTGCCCACCGTGCATAATCTGTGTCTCTGTCAATGACCGAGCTGCGCTTGGCACTGCAGGCCTGTCGGGCCTTCAGGATTTTCCTTGCTGTCCTGATCATTTATAAGCTTTTCTTTGCATTAGGTGGCAGGATGCAGAGGACAGAGGATGGCATGCCAAGAGATGTGGGGTCAGGAAGCCTGGTGTGGGGTGCTGGCTCTGACCTTCCCTAACTCAGCAGCCCTGAAAATTGTCCCACAGCTGTAATACAGAAGTGCTGAGTCCTACCTCTTGGTGTGGGGCCAAGTGAAAGATCGAACCTACAAAGATTGGGGAAAGGAATGTAGTCCCTTAAACATCAACATTAACTAAACTTAGTGCACACCACATCTGGCATAATTAGAGAGTGGCTGAAGGACCAAGTGTAAGGAATTCAGATTTTGACAATTTATAGATCTCTGTGTATTCACCCCTGTGCACATACGTAGGGGTTAGAAATGTGGTCTTAGTGGGTCTGTGCTGCTGAAATCTGGGATCTTAGTTACTCGGCCCCTTTATGTAACAAACCCTTCTATAGTCCTTCTGGCCACCATGTTAGCGCTTTGTCAGAGCTGTCTGTGCTGGCCATCTGTGCAGCGGGGACAGTGTCCGTGTGTCCCCTGCAGTGGCCGGGCTCCCCCGCAGAGCCCACCCTACCGGAGGCATCCATTCTCCCCACTTCCTGTGTGAAGTGTGAGGGGCTACCTTTCACGACTACCGTTTCACAGGCAAGGAAACCGAGCCTCGAGGTTTCAGTAAACCCAGAGGCAGTTAGTAAAAGTCAGAAATGAACTCATGTAATACCCTTCCTCCTCTCATTCCATAAGAGCAGAGCCTGCCTTGTGATTCCTCCAGGTGTTTTGTTTTGTTTTGTTTTTAAAGATTTTATTTATGTGATAGAGAGAGACACAGTGAGAGAGGGAACACAAGCAGGGGGAGCGGGAGAGGTAGAAGCAGGCTTCCCACCAAGCAGGGAGCCCGATGCGGGGCTCGATCCCAGGACCCTGGGATCATGACCTGAGCTGAAGGCAGACGCTTAACGGCTGAGCCACCCAGGCGCCCCTCCTCCAGGTGTTTGGGACTAAAAAAATTAGTGCCTTCGGAAATCTTAGGGAAGTGGGACTCAGAAAGCTCTGTCTTTCCAGCCCTGGAAATCCAGGGGTTATTTCTGATGTAATCCAAATGAATGAGATCGTAGCCACTGTCTGGCTCCATCTGCCTGGAAATGTGCTGCACGTGGAGTGAACAGTGTTATTTGACTTTAGGTCTCAACAGATTTGTACCTCTTAGCTTTGAAAGCTTACAGTTATTGAATCTGAGACTGGAGTCAATTTCTTTTCTTTTTTTTTAAAGATTTTTATTTATTTGATAGAGAGAGAGACAGCGAGAGAGGGAACACAAGCAGGGGGAGCAGGAGAGGGAGAAGCAGGCCCCCCGCCGAGCAGGGAGCCCGACGCGGGGCTCGATCCCAGGACCCTGGGATAATGACCTGAGCCGAAGGCAGACGCTTAACGACTGAGCCACCCAGGTGCCCCTGGAATCGATTTCAAATAAGGTTCTCCTATTCCCAATTAATACCTTTTCAGGCCAAAATACAGATGAAAATGGAAAAGCTGTCCTCGACCACCAAGGGGGTTTGTGAGCTGGAGAACTACCATTGTGGGGACGGGAGGCATCGGCCACCCCTATTTCACACGTGGCCCACAGCCCATTTCTGTAAGTAGTTCTCTCTGCATTGATTCTCAGGAGTAGAAATTATGGGAGTATTTGCGTACTTGAAGAACCTGACAGAGTTTGAAATTCAATTCAAGAGGATCTGTTGGAAGGGAAGGAGACTGGGGGCATCTTAAAATGGGCCTTTCTTCTTGGCTCTAATAATTAGCAAAGAATATTAAATGTAATTAGAGACACATGAAGCAAGGTGCCCTTATTAACCCTTTAAAACCAAGTGGTCGGGGCACCCAGCTGGCTCAGTCCACAGAGCCTGCGACTTTCAATCTTGGGGTTGTGAGTTCAAGCCCCACGTTGGGCACAGAGATTACTTAATAAAAAAAAATAGATAACCTTAAAAAAATGGGTAGAATGAATTCCACCTCCTGTGCAGAGGCAGAATTTTTTTTTCCTTTTTCGGAAAGATAGGTTTTGGGGCACCTGGATGGCTCAGTCAGTTAGGCATCTGACTCTTGATTTCAGCTCAGGTCTCGATCTCAGGGTTGTGAGTTCAAGCCCAGTATTGGAAAAAAAAAGATAAATTGAAGTCAGTTTAGCCACCCACTGGAAGACTATTGGGAACGTGGAATCCATTAAGTTCTACAAGATCAGAGTTACCTTTTTTTTTTTTTTTTAAGATTTCTTTGTTTTAGGGAGAAAGCAAGTGTGCACGTGAGAGCAGGGGAAGGGGCAGAGGGAGAGAGAGAGAAACAAACTCCCTGCTGAGTCCAGAGCCTGACATGGGGCTCGATCCCACGACCCTGAGATCGTGGCCTGAGCTGAAATCAAGAGTTGGATGCTTAACCGACTGAGCCACCCAGGCACCCCTCAGAGTTACCTTTAGCTTTGTTAGTTCAAAAGAAGGGCCTAGCTATTTGATGCCGATTTGAAACCTCACTTTTAAATAAGGAAGAAAAGAGTAAAACCATTTGATGTAATGTGTTATTGGAATATTGTCAGTTTGAGGTGAATCTGCTGTTTATAGTCATCACAGGACCGAAGAGTTGAGCAGAAAAGGCTACTTATTAATTTCATGACACTTACCATGCTAACTAATCCTACTGGTCTGCATGAGCCAGAGTGATACAGACCCACCTGGTCCTTCTTTATCTCTGCGCTATTGCTGAGTCTAGTTTTTTTTTCACACATTTTATTTATTTATTTGACAAGAGACAGAGAGTACAAGCGAGGGGGAGCGGCAGGGAGAGGGAGAAGCAGGCTCCCGCTGAGCAAAGAGCCCAACGTGGGGCTCAATCCCAGGACCCCGGGATCATGACCTGAGCCGAAGGCAGACGCTTAACCGACTGAGCCACCCAGGCACCCCCTGAGTCTAGTTTTCAACGAAGAGCTTTTCAAAGTGGCGCCTCACACCCAGGCAGGAGCAGTTCTGTGAACTTGTGCTATTAAGGGGAGACGTTTGTTTCAGATGAGGTTTCCCGCCAGCTGTCGGACATGTACCAGAAGGAGCTTCTTCTGAAACGCACGGTCATTGAAGAGCTAGCGCACACCACAGACCACGACCTCACCCTGAGCTACTTGTCAATGTGGCTGCACCAGCCCTTCGTGGAGACCAACAGCAAGCTGCTTCTGGAAAGCATGCTGCTCGAAACAGGGCACCGGGCCCTGTGACCTCCCAGCACAGCCTCAGAGTCTGAGCCCCCAGGCTCCCGACCACTGGCTGCTTCTGTGGCACCCATGGTGGACAGTCTTTCACGTAAGACCCGGAGCTGTGGTGTGGCCACCCTCCGACCTTAGTGTCTTCCAGACTGGATCAGTTCAGCGGCTCCCTGTGGCCTCCCCAGACGCCATGCTGCTGGGAGCCATCCGCCACACGGCGTCATCTGCACCTATTGTGAACCTGTCACCCAAGGGGACTTCTACATGAAATAAAGGAGTTCCTCACCAGAATGACTGAGTGATCTCGTTTTTGTAAATTAGCTGTATTTATATGACATTTATGTAGAAAAGCCCTGGTTCGGTATTTTTACTTTATACCTAGTATTTACATTTTTCTGCACGTTAGTTTTGTAATTACAACTAATGTTTAGAATACCATAGAGCTAACTGAGTAATAGAGAGCGGCTTCATGAAAACTCCCTACAAACGTTGCCTGTATCTGCAGACTGAGGATGTGCCAGGCACATGAAAGCCACATGATTCTTCAGGCACAAGTCCTAGAGTCCGACAACATTTGCAACCAAATCCTGGGGGCGCGATCCTACCATCTGCTTCCCAGAGACAAATGTAAGGAACGTTGTGCTACAGCATGGATGTGATACGGACACGGGATGTAGCCTCCTCTGACTGAAGCTGCAGCGTCCCAGAAACAGGGAAAGAAGGAAAATATTCCAATAAAGACCGTACACGACAGGGATTTCGTTTGGGAGAAAGCGAGCCTACCTCGCTGTGTAAACTGACACCTCAAAAGCACTGAAAGGCAACATATCTTAGTATCTCCTTCCTCTGTCCCTGTGGACTCACTGATGTCTCTCTACCATAAAAGCTGCCCCTCAGACATCACGCAGCCAGGAAGCCACGCGGTTAGCATGGGGCAGACAGGGTGTTCTGCTCCAGGCCGCCCTGCCCAGCAGGCTGTTGTCATGAGCCCCAGAGGCAGATGGGCGGGACAGGGCCCCGAGGTCCATTGGCAGTTTTATGTTTCGGACGTACTTAAAAAATAAATGCTCTTCAGGGCACCCAGCTGGCTCAGTCTGTGGAGCATGCGACTCTTGATCTCAGGGTTGTGAGTTCAGGCCCCACGTTGGGTGTACTTAAAAAAAAAAAAAAAAAGGGCAGTGAAGGACTTAATACCGTGAGCAGGCCTTTCTAGGACATCCCATGGGTTCTTGATGCCTCATCCCCAGACACCCAAGTGGCCCAGGGGAACTAATGGAAAGGGTTGACATTGCGAAGGACAAACAGACACAAAAGAGCTAAGTGACATTATCTGGTGGCATTGGTGCAGAGATCTCTCACGAAATGGAAGAGGCATCAAATCAAAGGATGACCCCTCTGGTGGTTGAATTTGCTGAATTCTGCACTCACCACACAACAGTGAAGTCTCCAGAGAGCTGACAGACTTCTAAACCTAGGAGACTGTTCACACAGTTCTCTGCCTCCAGGTATCTTGCCAAAATAGACAGCCAAGGAGTATGCAAAGGGCAAGTCCGCAAAAATAGAATAGGATTGGGAAAGGGCTTCAGGGTGAATTCACGATAAGTACATTTCATTAAAACTAGGAAAAGAAAAGAAAAACACCCTCCAGGAAACAGAAAAGCTTATACAAAAGCATCAAAGTAGTCACAACATACCACACAGCTCAGCTCTGAATAACACTTGCATGTCATAAAAATGTGACCCGATAGTTGGTCAGCCATCCGTGCCATCCACCAGATAATCCTGGAGTCCTGCCCCTGTGGCCCATGAAAGCCTGCTCTTCTGGTTCTCTTGCCGTTGGGGGAGACCACGTGGCAGATTCTGGTCACGGAAGGACAGACCTCCTTTCAGTTCCCTCCGTCTGACTTGGCCACTGCAGGGTTTGAGATGGGGCCACCCCGCTGGGTCCCCGACCTGGCTGTGATGAGGCAGAGCCGTCCCACCAGCCTGTGAGGGACATGTCGCATGAGGAGACATACACCTCGGTTGTTTGAAGCTCCGGAGGTTCCAGAGCTGTTACTCCTGCCTCTCCAGACCGACCCACAACAATTTTAACCATTCTGGGAGAAGGGGTCTGGCAGAGACCACTGGTGGTCCTTCAGTATATCTTTGCTTCATTTGGGTTTTAGCTGGCACATGGCTACCAGTTTAATAGGTTTCAGAACCTTCTTTGCGGCCAACCGTGGCCACGTGACTGAGATGTGCACGTGAACTTTTGGTTCTCAAAGGTTTTGTGTGCCCCTCCTGCCCCTCACGTTTTGGGGGACGGAGCTGACACATGAGGGTGATGAGCCCCCTCAGGCCTCTGGGGAAAGCCCCTCCCCCGCAAGGGGCGAGGAAGCAACCTGGGTCTGGGCCACCTCTGGAGGAAGGCCACTCAAGCTCCCGAGTGCCTTCCGGCTCACGTTTTCACTTGGGAGGTGCTGTCGTCTCAAAATGTCCCCACCAGATTCATATGTTGAAATCCTAACCCCTGGAGGAGATGGTAAGTAACAGGGTGAGGCCTTTGGAAGGTGCTCAGGCCAGGAGGGTGCAGCCATGCGTGGGATCCAGGCTCTTACGAAAAAGGCTCCGGAGAGCTCCACGGCCCCGTCCGCCCTGTGAGGACAGAGCAAGAGGTGTCCAGCTGGGACACAGAAAGAGAGCTCTCACCGAACCATGCTGGCGCCATGATCTCCAGCCTCCAGCCTCCAGAGCTGTGAGCAATAAGCTCCTGCTGTCTACGAGACTCCCAGTCTGTGGTATTTGGTTAGAGCAGCCCAAAGGGACTAAGACGAGAGAGAAATAAAACGCCAGCGTGTTCCAGTCGCTTATCCCCGCTACCTCTGTTGAAGCAGCCAGCTGACATCCTACCAAGGGGAAGGTTGGCAAGTGCACGCGGGTGGTGGGTGGCGGTGGCGGGTAGCATGGGTGCGCTCAGCCCCCGGAGCCGGTCGGTAATGCCTAAACCTAGAACATCAAGAAGTGACGGTATTAGCCTGTTGCGTAGTGACGTAGACTGAAAAAGCCAAAGAGACAGCTACGAGACCTGGAGCTGGCTACCGCGGAGGAGGATGGAGGAAGACAGTGTAATCATGATGTGGTGTGATGGAGGCCTTAGCTCACACGACGGTGGCCATGATGGCGCCGCGGGTACGAGCATCAAATCAACAGAGAGAAGAGGAGGGGGAGGGGCTGCTTTCTCTTTTAAAAAGTAAGTCTCTCTAGGAAAAGCCAAAGCTTCCGGGAAGTCGTGTGGTCACAACACACGAGTAGTATTTACACTTCACTGGGAGCATTAAATCCTGACTTAATACCATCCCATGATAGAAGGACACCCGCGGGGACAGTGGGGAGGTGTGCGAGCCGTGTCCCACGTCTCACGATGCCATCGAGCACGAATAAATCAAGAAAGCTGTGAGAGAGACATAACTTGAACACATGGAGGTAAATCACCAAAAAGGAGAAAGTGCTCACCTTGGCCGAGGGGCCGAGGGGCCGAGGGCTGAGGTCGGGCTGCCCGTGCTTGGCACAGGCCTTCCCGTAGCTTTTGCCATTTCAAACTTATTATGTGCTTGTTACTCCCTAGATGAAAATAGACGTTATTCTTTAAAAAACGTAGGCCTCAGAGGACACTGAAGCCTGGCTCCCTCTCGGCCTCTCTTCCAGTTCAGCTCTCCCCACTCCCGTGACCACTGGGGAGGCCAACGTGGATGAGCCTGACAGGGCTGGGGGGTGGGGGCCCTAGGGCTTTCCAGAGAACACAGAAAATAAAGGGCTTTCTTTCGTTGCATTTAGTAATGACAGTAGTTGGACTTGATGCCAGGTGAGGTAACAAACGCTGAAAACATACGTCCTCACTGGGGTCCGCAGCAGCCACCCCGTGGGAGTCCCTTGGGTGGTATGTGTCCCCAGATGGGTGCTCTGACGCCTCTTCACTCCTGCCCCTAATCGGAGTCTCTCGAATTATAAGGACTATGTACACGAAGGAAGATCCTTCACGAGAAAAGGAAATTTTCCTGTGCTTCCTACGTGGTAAGGCGTGTCTGCTACTGCAGCACCATGGGGTAGAAGCCGTGCTATAAAGCTGGGGATCAGGGGGCCCCTGAACGCTGCCCCGGCCGGCACAGCAGGGCGCCCAGAGCAGAGGCCTGTCCGTCAGTCCTGGCGGCTGCCGTCCCTCCACGAGCACAGGTCGAACTCACGGGTGCACCGCCGGAACGTCCTGCTCCGTGGAACGAGGGGGTCTTTTACTCCACTAAATGCACCCTCCGTTTAGAGTAGCACGCCCACCATGGTGAAACCAAGCTGTGTTGGGGTGTTCAGGAATGTCCTCTAAATAGAAAATAAGTTCGTATTTGACAGGGCCTGGTCCAGACCACGGACCAGGGGTCCAGACGTGACGCGGTTCGTTGCGTGAGTTGCCTGACAAGGGTCATGAACGCTCCTCAGGCAGGAGGCTCCGTCCTCACTCCACGACCCCAGGACGGGACTCACTCTAGGCTCCTGAGAAGTGTCCCCAAATCCACAGCAGGTACCACCGTCTCGCCTGTGAACCCGACTCTCGTGGGCAACTGGCTGGCTTACTGCTGGCCGCCGCATCCTAGAACGCTGTCCTTCTGTTCTGTGGATCCGGCTTTGAGATCAAAGGAGAGGACAGGAAAATGGCCCTGAAACTACACCCCGCTCCTCCACAGCAGGCCCTGGAAGGAGCACGGTGCGAGGGTGGGGTGCCACCGCGATCCCCAGCACTGCCTGCTCGGGGTCTCTCCTCACAGCCTCTGCAAGGGGGGGAGAGGGGGACCAAGGCCTTCCCTGTCCCTCCCCGTAACAAAGCCAAGGAGAACGTTCAACAGAGAAGAGACGTCGACAGGCAGCTTTGCAGGGGAGGCACGGGAGGACCGGGGCTCTGAGCTCAGCGGCACCCCGCTGCGGACCTCGTGGCCCCACTTCCCGCACCCACGACATGACACGCGAGCAGATACGACTTTCTTTCCTACCTCCCAGTGCTGCCCAGAGCGGCCCACTTGGTTATTTACTTCCTAAACCCAGGTATGGTGGAAAAGCTGCAGGTCACCCAGGAGGTAAGGGGACAGTTTTGGGGGAGCAGGGCCGACAAGGAAGAGTGTGGTGCCTTTAACCGTGGCAGTCGTCAGGGGCCTCTAGGGACTAGCTCCGCGGACGAATCCAGTGCCGGGCGGCGGCTCGGCCGTTGGTAGGAAAGCAAGCAAGACACGGAAGAAGAAGGGAGACAGCCAAGTAGAAAGACGTTA